CCCTTTCATACTCTACATCAACCATGGAAGGAGGAAGCCGTCATCTACCGTTTTAGTATTGAATTGATAAGATGATGTGGTGAATGGTATATTATGACTTAATTGTTCAATTAATTATGATGTGAGTATGTTGACATGAAATGAGATGTTGTATTGAATGTGAATGTGATGTGATTGTGGTCCCTTACACTTATGACCAGGGATGGCACGACCCTTGGGTAAGTGATGCTACAGGGATGGCGTGACCTTGGCATAGTGTGAGATGTGTGAAACAATTAACACGTATCACTTATATCAGGATGGCACGACCTTGGGCAAGAGGCTACAGGTGTGACCTTGGGATAGTGTTAATTGTAAGATTTGTGTTGATTATGAATAAAATATGATTGTGGTTCCTCACACTTATGACCAGGGATGGCACGACCCTTGGGTAAGTGATACTACAGGGATGACGTGACCTTGGCATAGTGTGGGATGTGTGAGGCAATTAACACGTATCACTTATGTCAGGATGGCACGACCTTGGGCAAGAGATGCTATAGGGGTGGCGTGACTTTGGCAGTGTTAATTGCAAGATTTGTGGTGAATTGGTGTGATTGTGAATTGTGATGTGAAGATGATGCATGATTGATAAAATTATGATATATAGAAATTCTTGTGAATATTTCATTGAGTACTGAGTTATGATGAAATTATGTTATGAATTTTCCTTGTGTGCTTTACATATAGATGTTTTCTTTTCTCACCGTACAAATTGTGGATGTTTTAGGTGAGGAAGATCCGGCTATGAGTGGCATCTAGAATGCCAACAGTTGAGTTGTGGGTATGCTATGATATGGTGACATCGGGGTAGATGATTTCTAGGACATGGATTTTTATATAGATTTGGAGTTGTATTTATTATTTTGAAAACAATTTCTAAACTCTTAGGTTTTATTTTCCAAGTTTTATTTTCAATTATTTTGGATATTGAATAACAATTATATAGATTTTATGTGAACCCTTTTTACCAACGTTGAAAAATTTATTCATTAGTTTTATTTACATTATTACAAGATATATATTGGGGTAGTAAGGGTGTCACATTAAGTGGTATCAGAGCAGGTCGATCCAATCGGCCGTGAGTTATAAGTCTACTATGCTTGTTTCGTAGATGAATGATCGAATGAATTGATTGTGGAACTTATTGATATAGCTTAGTTGATGCTATTTCTATTACTTTTCTTCATTAATTGTAAGATTTGTGTTGATTATGAATAAAATATGATTGTGGTTCCTCACACTTATGACCAGGGATGGCACGACCCTTGGGTAAGTGATACTACAGGGATGACGTGACCTTGGCATAGTGTGGGATGTGTGAGGCAATTAACACGTATCACTTATGTCAGGATGGCACGACCTTGGGCAAGAGATGCTATAGGGGTGGCGTGACTTTGGCAGTGTTAATTGCAAGATTTGTGGTGAATTGGTGTGATTGTGAATTGTGATGTGAAGATGATGCATGATTGATAAAATTATGATATATAGAAATTCTTGTGAATATTTCATTGAGTACTGAGTTATGATGAAATTATGTTATGAATTTTCCTTGTGTGCTTTACATATAGATGTTTTCTTTTCTCACCGTACAAATTGTGGATGTTTTAGGTGAGGAAGATCCGGCTATGAGTGGCATCTAGAATGCCAACAGTTGAGTTGTGGGTATGCTATGATATGGTGACATCGGGGTAGATGATTTCTAGGACATGGATTTTTATATAGATTTGGAGTTGTATTTATTATTTTGAAAACAATTTCTAAACTCTTAGGTTTTATTTTCCAAGTTTTATTTTCAATTATTTTGGATATTGAATAACAATTATATAGATTTTATGTGAACCCTTTTTACCAACGTTGAAAAATTTATTCATTAGTTTTATTTACATTATTACAAGATATATATTGGGGTAGTAAGGGTGTCACATTAAGTGGTATCAGAGCAGGTCGAT